GTTCACATTTAAAGCATGGTGAAAATAAAAGGGACAACTAAGAACTCACATATACAGCAGGAACATAGGTGGAAATCTTATTAATCACCAACAATATGTTTGACAGTAAGCAAGGAGCAAAATTCAGACAGCTTGTGCCTTAAGGAGTTGTCATAGCTCAGAAGCCTGGTGAGGCTGCAATATTCAAAGTGGTGGAGTGGGAGGTGAAGGTCTAGAAGGAATTGACAATACTGAAAATGCTAGAAGCAGGAGGTGAGCAGTGTGCTCTTACATACAAGGACAGTACAGAAATGTAGCCACCAGCATGCTGAGAACGTAGCTCCAATGTAAATATTTTACAAAGTGACCCCAGAGGAAAAGCCATGCTGTTAAAGTGAGAGAGCACTGGGCTCTACAAGAAGAAACTTTAGGGTGGTATTGAGGGAGAGCAAATGGTCAAAATTCAAGAGAATGTAACAGCCTGGCAGTGCGTGTTAGCTGTCTGTGGTCTCTGATGTTATCAACAGCTGCTAGCCGCACTCCATATTGTTTCATTCAAAAGCATCATGGAGAACTCAGAGGTGGCCTCCTCCTGCTGTGGAGCAAGCAGAAGTCAATTAGCCAATGGTTTTCTGTGGCTGGTAACAGCAGCACTCAGGCAAGTAAATGTTTTAGTGTTTTGTTTCATTTGGAGATTTGAGTCATTTGACTAGTTTTTAAGAAGTGAAGGCTTCAAATTTGGTATTCATCAACTTTCACGCAAAGTGTCCAACTTGGTGGCTGCTTTCCAGCATGACTTCAGAGGGCTTTCCAACAAAATGGATATTGTAGGTAAAATTTTATTTCCATCCAGACTAAATGGATGTTGGAATTTTTATGCATCTTCCATTATGATGCTGTAAATGGAGGTACAGTGTGGCTCATCACCTAAAGTTAAGTCATGCTATGGAGTAACCAAAGATAATTCTAGTTTCTAAATAACGTAAAATTGACTATACTGAGATTCTAGATTCATCTAGACTGAGGTCTGCATTCCAACAGCGATCATAAGTGTATGTCCAAGGGAGGAAAGGACTGAAGTAGGTGTATATGATACTAATTAATGGAGATCAGCACTCCTACAACCAAGGAAAGGAGCTATCCAGTTCCTTTTGGACAGTCTGGGATGTGATTCTAATCATATTCCACATAGGTTTTATACCATGACTTTCTTTCAGATCTTGCTGAACCAGAAACTTACCCGTGCCATTTGTTTCATGACAGTATTTACTGCTCAAACTTACACACATGTATTGCACATGAACCTCAAAACAGGTGAGCAAAGCTGAACTGAGGTAGGAAACAAGAGATGTGTCCAGGCGTGTTACTCCAGGAGCCGCCTTGCCCTGCGTGTCTGGTGGGCAGCGCAGTGCCAGGTGGCTGCTGCATCTGAACAGAGCCATCACTGCTGCACTGTCACCTGAGCCAGGGCCAGCTCATCGCCCCTGAAAGGTGGTTCCTTGGAGAATGCTGGGGTTCTCATTTCCAGGAATGTAGGTGGTGCATCTGTGTGTGGTGGGATGGCAGTGTGTGTTAGCTGGTTGAAGGTCTGACATCAGCTAGCATGCAGCTGCTGTCTTTCCACATACTTTGATCATCCAAATGGAGAGCTCCTGCTTTTGTATAAAGAATCTTTCAGGTCCACCTTACTGCTTTTTCTGACTGTCAGGCTCGTTTTTGGTATTATAGTGGTACCTTTTATTTCTGTTACCCACTGCTACCCAGAGAATTGTGAGAATTTTGGTTGATTTTGACTTTGGTTTTCATCTGCTTTTAGATACCAAGGGAACAGGAAGTTCATAAATACATTAAACCGGTAAATAATTCCAACATTTTAAAATAATTTTAAGCCCTGGAAGTTTCATTAGAGCAAAAGAAGCACAGTTAAAAACTTCACAGGAGTTTTAACGTTTACGTTTCTTACAATGATATTTGGCAAATGCAAGTTGGTTGGTTTTTGGGGGTAGTGGTTATTTTTTTTTTTTTTTAACTAAGTAAAGTTTTAACTCACACACTGGGTGAAAAGGCTTTAAATCACTTTCACCACTGCCTGAATGCTACATTTGAAAAATAATCACCTTTCCATACTATTGAAAAAGAGAAGTCAGCTTGAGGGCTTTTCCTTTCCCTTTGCTTCTTGGAACTCGTCAACAGCAGTAAGTTTAAACAGCTGCGCAGTCTCACCAACCAGGAGACTAAATCTGAATTTGAGTAGGACATGATATTACGCTTAGAAGGCAAAAGGTTGGAAGCACGTTGATCCTTTTGGCTGATGTTACACTGCAAGCTTCTATGAAACATAATGCTACAGGCAACAGAGTGTTACCTTTAGCCTCATCCTGACACTTCAGCACTTACAGAATCCAAAACACCTGTGTTGTTAGTTGCTTTTTCTGAGTGCTACTTTATGTGCCTTCCAAAGTGAAGGTCTTCTAGGAAGAGAAACAGTGTTGATGTTTGTGAAGGTCTGCAGAATCTGGGTGACCCTAGTGTTGTGTGTGGTGATCAGGCAGTGCACAGTTAGTTAGCTGTTCTTCATGCACCAGCAACTGACTGCACTGCCACATCAACACATTACTGTTGAGATGAGAAAACAAATGCTGCTGTTAGAAAATCTCACCTGCTCCTTAGCTGGTGTGGGACCTAATGCCTGCTCAGTTACCCTCACTGACAGGACCTGTACTAGGTTAGGTAGCTAGGAGTTATGTACTAGGTGTCGAGTACAAAAATAAGTGTAACTGTATTTGACACACTGATACAGCTAATCCAGCTTGTTTCAAAAATTATTAAATTATGTAAGTACTAAGTAAGAGTTTCAGGTGTGGGTCCTATATGAACACGCTTCTCTTGCACTGGTAATATTTACCGGAGCATTGATGTGCAGGCTCAGCAAAAAAGTTTCTTCTGATGTTACTTGAATTAACAGGGACATGTCCAACCAGTGACTGAAATGTACAATATTTGCACTCCCAGGCAATTTTTTTGGAAAGAGGAGCTGGCAGTTGAATGGTATCTGCTGGAGATAATGAGGTCATGTCAGAACCAAGGAATGATGGGAGCATGAGATGGGAATGAAGGATGAAATAGATCATGTTGAAATGGAGCTGAAAGAACTTTTAACACTCCTGGAATGAAGTTAGTTAACTTTCTTAAGAGGGCAATTTTTTCTTAAATTGGTGGGATTATTTAAGAATCCAATAAATATACCGTTTGTAGTTTAGTATTTTTTAATATGCTATATCATATTTGAACTCTAAGTGGATATTTACACAAATGTATTCATAATAATAGTTTTGTTGAGTTTTGACTATGGACAAATGTGTGCTTGTGTAGTGTTCTAACTTTCATTTTTTTTGTTTGCCTTTCCAAGTCTGTGTAGATTTGGCACTTAAAGGTGCTTTATTTTTACCCTGTATAACTGATAACTTTGTTTAAGAAAAGTAGTTAGCTTCTCAGTGGTCTGCCCTATATATTACATTGGAAGAGCTAATTTGTCTCATAAAGAGTAGTACGAACTTACTGAGTTTTTTTGAGGAATGTTAAAAACCAGTACACTTTGAAAACTTAAAACTCTGTGTAGATTCAGGACTGAAGAGTGCCTATATTCAAATTTCTACAGAAGATGGTTGTAGTAGACTATGATCAAATGGTGAAATAAGAAACTAATCTCTGAAAGTTAGAGTGGCTAAAAACGTCATGTATAAGGTTTGACTTCCTTTCCAAAGTGATGGTGACTTTGTTTAATCTTCCACATCAGTATCATTAGTCAATCTTATAAAATATTTTAATGTCCTTATCTTTCAGGGTTTTTCTGTGAAATTCTCAATTCCATGGATTAATGAAAAAATAATTTTCTTCTTTCCTAAATGCTTTTCAATTTCTTACTTTTTTTGATACACTTAAGTGGTTATCTTTCCTGAAAAAATTTTTGAAGCATTTCAAGTATTTCCATTCACTGTTAAGTCTCACAAGAGACAATACTAATGCTACCAGTCCTTTTCATATTGAAAACACTTCTGAGACAATGGTTACTCTAGTTTCTCTTTTCTCACCTCTCCTTTAAGACTTAGCAAGCTGGAACTTATTCCTTATTCCACTGTGCTGTCTCACTTCATCAGGCAGATAGATCAAAACACTCGGCAGTTTGCAATAGAACAGTGCAACAGAACTGGAAGCGGGTTTGAAGTTGCATGCAGGACTAGGGAGACTGCAAGGTGAGAAGGGTGGGACTTGAGGCATGAACCTTCATCCCTTTCTTATACTTCCACTTGAAGACTGTTGCTTTGTTCCAGAGATGGTGAGGCAGATGGCTGGGGAGCACTGTCTTAGGACTGTCTCAGAAAGCTGTCTGAGTGCCAGGCTGTTGATTTTTGTTGCCCCTTGAATCCTGCTGTAATCAACTCTGTATATTCACACAGACCTTGCCTTCCTCCAAGTCGGAAGACTGGGACTGCAGCAGGAGGTGAGCTTTCAGCAAAGGCATGGCACTGCAGTGCGAATGTATGAAGAAGGCTAGAGAGGTTAAAGGTGTTGCTGTAAAGGTGAAATGTAAAATTAATCAACATACAAAGCAGGCAAGGAAACATTTTTGCATTTTTTAATTTTTCTTTTAATAATTTTATTTTCTATATACATATTTTTTACAACTAAATTAACAGCTTCACAATTCAGTAATCATCCTCGATAAGATACTGCAAAGCTGCTATCTTCAGTTGCACTTGTCTCTAAAATCCCCACTATGATGCCTATGGGCCCCACGTCTTTCAGTCAGGGTGATTATGTGCTGACAGAGTATCAAAATCAATTTGTTACTGGTAGAAGGGAAACAAAATTTCTCTCTGCAAACACTGAGTAATTTATCAACACGTCTTCCTTTTAGCTGTCTTCCTGCTGGTGGCAATTTAAAGGAACATTCAGAAACTTTATGCAAACTGGAGGTCCATCCCTGCAAGGTCCTGTGTGCTTTGCCTTTCGCACTAACGTCAGTGGTTCTCAAGGGTGTTACAAGATCTGATCCAACATTAACAGATGTAGTGGAGTCGAAAAATAGTAACACCAAGGAGAAGGAAAATCACCTGATGGTTTAGCTTCTAGCAATGTTTCCCAGGAATGTTGCAAGGCTGTGTACCCATGCTGTTGAACAGATTCACAGCATGACTGTCTTTTTCAGAGGTCTTCTCTCTTCTTCATTATAATCTGCCTAATTAATGATGCTACTTCTGGCTTGATACTTGCTATGGGCTCTTCAGGCCTCCAGAATTTCACAACTTTACCCTCAGGGCTGACAAGGTACTTCCAGAAATTCCATCGAGGCTCTTTCTTTGAAGAATCTGTAAGAGTGGCATCATTTTAGTGTCTTACACTTGTTTCACTACCCTGCAGTGATTCTTCAGCTGGTTATGCTAAACTGATCCCACCTTGTTCTTTGCTAATAGTTTGGGCATGGATTTACAGGTTGGTGTCAACTATCTGGAAACTGGGAAGTGAAAGATCCTCTCTCCTTCTTGAGAAGCTGTTTGGGAGTTCCTACTTTTACTACGGTCTGCTTCTAGGGAGGAGGATATGAGGGCTGCAGACTCATTTGGGGAATCCCCAGTTTTATGTTAGTTTAGGGAAAGTGCAACAGGAGTTATACAGGTGGTGGCTTAACTCAGCTCCTTTCATTGCATGAGGCAAAACCTTACAGTATCTTTGCTATAATGAACACCTGGCAAAAAAATTTCTCAGATTAAGGTGCTACCAGGAAAATATGTGGCTCCTAGAGGAGGCAGAAGCAGTTTCTTCACACTGTCTTTGTCCTTGGAGAGGACTGTTTTAGAGGCAGATCTCTTTGAGAAAATAACTAGAAGAGAATTCTAGGAGATTTTTACTGGGGAAGAGGTGTTCAGCTGGGAAACAGTGCTGAACCCCAGGAAACAATGGGTTTAATTTTGCCATTGGGCTACATCTGTAATGGCATGACTGGGAGGGAACAGCATGACAAGCAAATGGGTATGGTAAAGCTCCTCTCACAGAGGCTCTGGCCCAGCTAGTAATTGCATCTGAATTATATCTAGGATTGGTCTTGAAGTAACTTAATCTCTGAATAATTCTTACAGTGTTCACCAGTGCATAGGACTACCTCATACAAAATGCACACACAGAGGGAGCCTCACATTATTTGAGGAAAGGTGAGGCCACAAACCTTGCAGTGGCTCAACGAAATGCCTTTTTGCTGTGCGAGCAACAAGAAGCATTTGTGTAACGTCTCTGGCGCTGTGTTTATCCTGCCAGTGGATTCTTTTTGCACTAGACTATCTGACAGTGCTGGAGAAAGTGTAATTGGCAGTCACAGTCACAAAGAGGGTATACCATGAAGATGTTCAGCCTTCTGGCTGTCAGGACAGCTACATGAAGAAAATAGGTGTGTCTTTAATTGAAGATACACAGTAATTTCACATGAGGCAAAGGGATGTGGGAGAAAACCTTATTTCAAAATATTTAAGTACCAGAGGATCTTTTTATTTCTTGTGGGTGAACAGCGCGTCAAGCAAGAACCATGAGTGAATATGGCTGTTGTTTCTGTACAGATACTAAAGTCTGATTGCACTGATAGTTAGAACCTGGATTCATCGCACTCAGCGGTTTCCTGTGTGCTCTAGTCTCCTCTACAATGCACTGAGAGGCATCTGCAGAGTGCATTCAGTAATTCCACTGGACATCAGGCAGCTCAGAGCAGTGAGTTACCTGAGGCCCTTGGTGACATGCCTAAAGGGGAGGTAGGAATAAACACAGTGACTGGGTCCTGAAGTTCACAAAACAAATTAATGCAAATCAGTGATTAGACATCACTATAGGATATATAATCCTCTACAGTATATAAAACCCTGCTTTACAATACAGTTCATGTAAAGGGGGACATAGGGGTTGCTAAAGAAGGAATCTTCTCATCTGTATGTGTTTATGTAAAATCCTCCACTAGTTTTATGACTCCACCCCCCCTCCCAGCTACATTTTAGTCTATAAGAAAAAGTTGTTTTTCAACAAAAGGCACATAATTTGAAATGGGATTTTGTAGGCGGAAGTCTTTGCACGCAAGTTTACACGTCCTCAGAATGGATGTTTCTAGCTGGGCTGGTGACAGTAGGATGTTTTTTAAATCAGTGAGGAGAAACAGATGCTTTCAGGGTGCGACTCTTCTGACTGTATTTTTGATATCCACACTGAAACGAGACAGACTGTATGCTGGGTGCCTGTTTCTCTCCACAGATTATGAAGACTATCATGTTTCCTAATAAACAGACTCAGAATGGGATTTAGAGAGAATACGTATTAATGTATATGGGCAGCTTGATATATAAAAGAAAACAGTTACCTATTAGAAATTTAAAGGCAGGCTCTGCTTCTGATCCAAGGATCTTGATTTTGTGGAAAATAGGGAAGGTTACTCCATAGTTTCCTTTGGCGAAAGATTCTATTTCCTGGCTTGAACTAGGCTCTGATTCTCCGAACTGGTTGCAGGGAAAAGCCAGCACAGTGAAGTGGGAGGGACCAAACTCTCTGTGTAGTTCTTGCAGTGCGATGTAATTTTTGTCTGTGTGTTGGCAGTAACTGGCCACGTTTACAACTAAAGTTGCCTTCAGAGAAGTAGAAAAAAAGAATAAAGAAAAGAAAATAAGAAAAATCCCTGGAGATCGTTTAGATGTTACAATTAAGTTTTAAAGTGACTTCTCTCCCACTACCACAATTGTTCCCTCCCAAAGGCTAAATTTATTCTGCCTGATCGTTACTTCATTAAACAGATAAGGATGATAGCAACTTAAGGTACTTTCAGACAGCCTCTTTTAGAGATCCAATAGATGGACAAATGTCTACTTACAGCTTTATTCAAATATAGGCATGTAAAGCATGTATTTAGGACAGGCACTAAAATTATATTTATGAGATCAGCTTCCAGAATTCAACAAAACATGCTACCTATTTAAACTAAGATTTAAATGCGTGCATTGTATTGTTAAGCTATATTAATTTATAATAAAGAATAAGAAAAAAAAACATTTCCCTTGATTTATTAGATCAAATACATAATTCCTGGAGCAGGCCTAGATCAAATAAATTTCTCCCCAGCTTACTGTTTGAAGAACAGAAATTTAGCACAAATTTCTGCTGAAATTCCCATAACCAAACTTTTTGCTTACCTACAAATGGACACCTGATTTTGAGTGTGGGTTCAAGGCAACGATAAAATAAAGTTGTAACTTACTTTTCCTCTGTACTTTTCCAAGGAAATGATTCTTCCTCGTGAATCCTTGACTTCGAAAGAATAAAAATCTTTCATTTTAGGTTTAAAAAATCTGAGTTGCAGAAGGCAAAGAATGGCAGTGCACAAAAACATTGACAGAAAGACAACAAAGACCCTGGCTTTGGGCACTGAATATTTCAGAGGATATGTAGTTGTGAGAGGCTCCATTTTCGAAATCTCCCTAGCGGAGGCTGGGCAGGCCCGGAATGCGAAGGAGGAGCTGGAATACGAAACTCGCAGCTCGGGTTTGAACGAGCAAAGCTGCTCGTGTTGTCCGTGCTGCACAAGTGGCCATTCCCTGTCACAGTGTCCCTTCTGCGCTTCACTGCTCTTGGGTAAAGTGCAGAAATCTCTTGGTGGGTGAGGGGAAAAGAAAAAAAAAACCAGTAAGTGTGTTCCCACCACCTAAGGATGCCCCCTTCATCTGGTCTGTGTGGTTCACTCCAGTGTTTGTCTGCACACTGTCCTGAGAGCTGCTGGGGCCCGTTGTGGGTCTGTAGTCAGCTCCAGGACATCCCTGGGCCCCCCAGGTGTCCCTGGCAGAGCTGTTCGGCAGCAGGCATCCGTGCTGTCAGACAGACCTGGAGAACCACTTCTGGAGGTCAGAGGTTCAGGAAGAATGAAGGGCAATATATCTGAAACCACCTTGTTTACAGCCTCAGTCCTGCCTCTTATCAGCTGCTCTGCTGTCACAAGCAGCTTTGTTTTTGAAACTGTTTTAGAGCACATGTAGTGGAGAAAAACATCTTGTCTATACACTGGCATAAGGGAAAATAACTTTTTTTTTTTTAAATGGGGGTGTAGGGCTGATGGTGGAAAATGTGTTGCGTTTTCTGTTGCTGCTGGCTAACTGGCAATTATCTGTGCTGAGATTAGAAAATGGAAGGTCTGCGTGAGAGAAGAACCTGAGGTGTAAGCCTGGTAGTGCCAGTGCTGTTTTGCTGAGGCAGTTGTGAAAGACACCCTGAACTTTAGAGCTCCACAAGTCTGGTGTTTTATTTGTCTTCATGTTATTGTTTTATATTTTAAAGACATTTGCCTGTTATTTTTGTTTTCTGAAAGGCACAGCAACATGTGGTTACTGTTACAAAACTCAGTGTCCTGGTTTGGGCTGGGAGAGAGTTAGTTTTCTTCCTAGTAGCTGTTGCAGTGCTGTGTTTTGGAACCAAATTTTCCCTTTCTTTATGTCTTCCCTTGCTCAGTTCTTCCCTCTCTTTCTGTCCATTTGTTATTCCATCTCTCCCTCTCAGCTTTCAGAATTTTGTTTAGTCCTTTCTCCAAGAACAGATTCTTGGGCTTTTCTAAGGCATTACTTGTCTTTCAGCTTGTGTTGCTTGTAAGTCTCTGCTAACTCTATTTTTCTCCTAGCCCAAACCACTATCAAAGAGTGATTTCTGTCTCAGTTGTTTTACTCATCACTCTGATTTTTTTTTTTTTTTTTTCTGTACTTAGAATTTACATTTTAGAAGATGAAAATAGAATGTAATGTTCTGAAAGTGAAATCTGGAATCTGGGGATCTGTTGCTTTTCAGCAACTTTTTTCTCAGCTACCCTTGATTACTACAATATCACAGTGGTATGTTCAACAATAATGTCCAAACAGCTAAACTCCACATTAATTTTGTTCAGCAAGACTATATATAGAGTTTCACACAGTTATGCATAACAGAGAGATAGCTGGTAAATGCTGAAATTTTGGTATTTGTGTGGGAGTTTTCTGTGATCTGAGGATGTGACTGTTGATCTCTGCCTGGCACTGAGGCCTGTGAGTATGGAGTTCCAGTGGTGGTGGGGACAGAAAAGGTACAGAATTCTGTGCTGAAATGAACAAAGCTGTATTAAATAAGCAAGCACAGGTGACTAATGCTGACTTCAAAAGCAAGTTTGAATGTGTTTGGTTTCAGAAAAAGCTGGTGTCTAAGTGTTGTCTCAACAGTTTGCAATTTGCACCTCATGTATTTTCAGAAATAATAATTAAAAAAAAATTACAAGTACAAATATTTACTGGAGTACCTGCTAATATGCAGAAGACTATTATACTTGATGTGCTTCCTTACTGTTGTTACTTTCACCTGAAACATTAAACAAGCTGAAAAACCAGAATCTTGTGCTCAATGTTATCTAGGCTCTTATATTTCAAACTTCGATACATTCTTACATTTTATGTTTTTCTGATACAAATTACTCTATGAAAGGACAGTAAGAAATGTGAACCTGTCATTTTATCTGTATTTAGGACACCTTAATATATTGAAAAAGTGAGAGACAACATTAAAAATAATGACATGAGCAAGCCGCAGTGGTGGTGAGAAGGTTCAGAAATCAGAAGAGCTGTAAGCCCTCCTTTGGGTGAAGGTCAGAAAATGACCCTGGTTCCAGACAGCCGTGCATGTGAGCTTGCCCAAATGCTCATCTCTCACGGAAGAGCAGACCCGTGAGCCTGTGCCAGGTGTCTGAAGATGCCTTGGGCCTTTCAAAGGCCAGTGCTGCAGCATAATGCATGAGTGACACAAATTTAGTTTCTTTCTTTTTTTTTTTTTTTTGTCTCCCACAGGCTGTTTCTGTGACAGTTGAATCAGAGGTGCTTACCCTGCCAGAGACATTTGTTTTTTTCTGTTTTTTCCCTCTCCTCCTCTCTCCACACAGGTGGCTGACTGCTGGCGCCACCCTCAGCCCAGCACCCCCCGCACGGCCTGCGCTCTGAGGCGGGCTGAGCCGGCGCAGCACGGCGGAGGGTAGCTAAGGCAGGCGATAACGGGCCGTGACTAACTTCGTCGTTCTGTCTGCGTTCGCTTGCGCAGGCCCCGGCGCGCGGAGGGA